TTTCGGCAGGCCTGCTCTTAATGTTTTGATTAAAAAAAACATCTATGTGACATACTGTAGTGATAGCAGTGTAGAGTCAAATTTCAAATAACAGTAATTTATTGATTTTTGTTGTGATACTTGTGGAATATTCGTATTTTTTATAAAATAATTTCTCTCTTGAACCTCAGTAGAATCCTGAGGGAAACAAGATTGCAAGCTAAGGTGCTCAGCCCGGTCCGAACTTCCCTCTTTACCCATGGCTGCAGCTCCAATCACCCTTCCAAGCCTATAGATGATTTGCTAGTGACAGCACTATAGTGCAGTGTTGTGCACTGAATAGGTTAATATTTTTACTGAACGGTGAACTGAATGGATCAGATTTGAAATAATGAACATAAACAAGAGCAACACTCACTCTGAGAATAATGAGCCAAACACAGCTCACATCCGCGTTCAATTGATAACACTTTTCATTGGATAACGTCAGGTCTTTGGCACTTATTATAGCAAACAGCATGACAGGCCAGCATGTTTACTGCTAGAACTAGTCTGCACGATTCAGACTCTTCTACTGGTATTTCGGATTCCAGTTTTGCAGAGCGCTTGGCAGAATTGGATGAACTACCAAAGTAAGTCTCAAAAACTCACATTTTTGCGCAAACTGTGCCCACCGCGACTTAAGAAACAAGTCCGTACATCAGCCATTTCCACTTCAAATTTATAGCGACACATCGAGTTAAAGCATCCGAGCTATCTTAGCAAATATCAGCTACTGGTGAAGGAACATAAGAAATTATTTTTCGATACAGATCTTTTCAGCAGAACCTTAACCTGAATTTACCTGTATGTTTCTTAAGTTCTGTGTTTTTTGCTAAATAAAGGTTTCAATGCACATACAGTGTACCTTGACTGCATCGAGTATTTTCAGTTTCATTCTATATATTATGATCACACATTTAAAGGGTGAAATATGGAGTTCTATTGTGTAGGATTGTGGCTTAATTTACCAAATGAACTTGAACCAGTTAATTTATCGGTTTTTGAACTTTCATTTTAAGAAAAAGTAAAGTATAAACATTAACTAGTTCATTTTCATCTGTGTGAACTGAAATTTGAGCTTGTTCTTTTTAATTATGAACTGGCACAACATTGCTGTACTGAGACTCATTCTTGATAATGATGACAACCATAAAGAGGCAGGAGTGAAACATGTAGCTGAGTTTTGTTTAGCCTAGAGATGCTTTGATCCATTTTTCCCCTGATCTAATGAGATCCCAATACAGGAGCTGAGCATATCAGCTGATATCTGATACCGATACTAGACTTAGACATTGCATACATTTACTGACAATATAATGAAATTGCAATTAAAAAAGATAAAGCAGTAGCAGCAGTGCATAGGACTGGATCATATTGCAAGGAGAAACAGTTTTAAAAAGTGCAAAAGATTTTTTAACCATGTTGTCAGTACAAAAAAACAAAAAAGTTCTAAAGGTTTTCGATTAAAATGGATATAAAAATGTACAACCGTGTGGACGGAGCAAAAAAGATGGTGCAAAATGGCTGTAGAAGTTCAGTTGGGAACTTTTACATTTAAATGGATTTTTTAAAGTTCAACAATGTTGGCAGTGCAAAACAACAGTGCAAAATGGGTCCATATTAAAAGTTTAACAGTCTGATGGCAAGCGGGAAGAAATTGTTACTACTGATTTGGAGGAAAGGCTTCATGCCGGACATTAAAAAAAGAAAAAAAGATAACTTAACATCAACGCTCTGTGTGATGATGTAATCATACCTGCAGTCATTAAATTTAAGTCACTAAAAGGATGTAACTGTGTATCATATCAATAACAATACAAATGGCTGGATCAGAATGCTGTATCAGCATTGTTCCGATATCTGATCCACCTAAATTGTCAATATCGGAACCGATAGCTGATCAGATTCATCTCTATTTCAGACAAGGGTTAAGTACCAAAACTTTAGAAAAATTGTTGCTGGTTTAAGTAAACCCAAATTGACTATATTGCCTCCACTCCTCATAATTGGAAGGGGCTGGAAAGAGTGGCCCCAGAATTAAAGATCTGAACTGGATTTTGAACACCTCTAGCCTGTTAATTAGGCCCACCTGAGACTTTTCTTAAAGCCCCTTTTTAAAATATTGAGGATCCTAAATTTTGTTTATATCAACTGAAAAATCTTTGTAGGCTTTTCATCAGAAGGTTGGCTTCTTACTAATCTTTACAGAAAGTCTCTGGGGGCACAAGCAGACCTACGGTATATGCTACGGATGAAGAAGCACATTTAAGCATCCTGTAGATTGATGTGGGGCATCATCTTGAAGACATAAAGGGAAAACTGTGCTGTGATGTTTGACTGAGTAATTTCTAAATTCTCACTTTATGTTGTGCAAGGGAACAGAATGTTTGAGTCCTTGCCTTACAATACATACATAGGTGTGCCTATTATGAACCTAACAAAGGTGTGTACCTATACCCTGATATTAGCATAAAGCTCCAATTAGATTTGATCTTATGAAGTTAAGTAAAATAGTAATCCTGACTGATGTATGATAGGAATGATCTGATTTATTGCCAGGGATTGAGAAAATAAATACTCCAATTCATCCAGCATATCTAAAAGCCTGGTTTCAACTTTGAATAGCTGATTATTACAAAGTAAAGCTGTAGCCTATAGATTTCTATTGGCTTACGGTAATCTTTTTAAATAAAATACCACCATATAGCAAAATGTTGCCTCAGGGGATGAACAGATTAGTAAGCTGTAATTCTATATAAAAGCTTTAACATCTGATTATGAATAAGTTAATGTTAAGGCGTCACTAACTAGAATAGTTTCCAGTGACACTCTGAGAATAAACCGTGTAAACAAACTCGCATCACACTATTAAAATAGTCCGACGATGTGTAATGCAGAAAAAAAGCTAAGGCTCGAGGATGAAAATTGAATCTCTCGTGGGAGTCAGGTTACCTGTCATGAAGCTACTGCATGTCTATTAACACTGTCAGAGCGCCGCTAAAGTGACCAAGCTCTACTGCTGCTAAGAGAAAACATGGAAAACTTAAAACAACAGCCCAAATAACACAAACCTACTGAGCAAATGTACAGACAAGATGGGTTTTTATCTATTAATCTTTATGTTCTTTAAAGTCCCTTATTTTTTGCCTTCTGTGATACTTCTGTTTTGAACATGAGATCCTTTATTCTAAACAATTAGTTTACCCTTTTTTCTATCTATCTTTCATCCTTTTTAATCACCTTTTTGTCACAGGAAAAACCTTTGTCTCTAAACTCTTAAAAGGTTCTGCAGCACACAGATTTCTTCAGTTAATGCCATTTGCTGCGGTGCTCTAATAGTGAGCTTTGTGGATCTTCTTTGCCATCTCAGCCAAATCTCCACTATTGACAGGAGACAGGGGGCAATATAAACATAGGTGCTTTTCCCCAGTCTTAAACAGATTCGTTACAATTTGATTAATGTGGTTTAATTTTAAGTAGCTATTTTCTTGCATGTTTCCTGACTTTCTAATTTAGATAAATGGTCAAGAGAAATGACTTCCTGTTAATGTGGCATTCATTTTCATTCTCTTTTGGGGGAAAAAGGAAGCAGCGGAATATTAATTAAATATTCCTTCAAACCCTGATCGACAACTGATATATGATATTAAAATAAATACAATTATGGGATCTAAATTCTTAAGTTTTGAATTTTTTTTTCACCTGAATGAATGTTCTCCAATGAAAGGTTGGATTCTGACCAGATTTATAAGCGTGAGATTATGCTACTCTAATAAAAGAACAATTTATTCTTGGGGTTTTTACACAGCTTTACAAGGGTTATCAGTAAATATATTTCAATAGGAGTATCGTATCATTGTTTACCTATGGAATGGGGAAACCCTAAAGCAAAATAGGTTAAGCAAACATATGTGTGTTTAAAAGTAAAAGTTTAAAAAACTGTATCTCAAAATGCTGTGCCAGTTTCTACTGATGCTAAGTTTGAGCTTGTTGAGTAGAGTGAAAAAATGGCACTGTGAACCGGCAAAAATGTAGTGTCAGCATACGATTTATCACGCAATATATTGCGATACAGTGACAAAGATGTGATTTTGCTCATTTTAAGATAATATAGCTTTGTAAAACTTCATGAGATCTCATCGCTCTGCTGCAGCCAGAGAAGAGCTGCTGAATTATAGGCTCTTGGGCGAAGTACTGCCAAGTAACTGATTATATAAATGTTATATATAAATGGGTTTAACTGTTATATAAAAGAAACACAATGAAACTCATATTTTCTTATAATTAGATATTTTTTTTACATTTAAGACTGATTCAATATTTTGCATTAGTATCATTTAATGATGTGTTGCTATATTGGTATTGAATTGATACGGTTTCACTTACACCCCTAGTTATTACCCAGTTCAGAGTGCAAAACAACCAGTATGATTCATATGATGCCTAACAGCTGACAAGATATTGCATAAATCATTCTAAAGAAAACTGACCTCCCAATTACCTACTTATAAGAAAGTCTTTCTATTTCTGCCTATATAGCTACAATAGCTCTCTCCTCACATCCCTTCTTCTGAGAGTCTGTCTCCTCACCTCATGTACATCTGCACTTTCACAGACCACCTGTGGCACTGGGCTGTGTGCACTACTGCTACGCCCCTCACTGCCATCCTAAGGGCCCTGCAAACACTGAAATGTTTAAAAACGGGAGAAAACAATCTTTTTGAACTATATTTTACATTTTAGATTCTATTAGAACTATATGCCATAGGGATTTTATGTTCTTTGATGCTTTTTGGAGCCTACAGTAATAGTGTTTTTTTTTTTCATCTATCTGCAGCAGAATCTATGTAACTTCTAATTGACTCAAAGCTTTTCTTTCTGACTCCAACTAAACATTTTGCCATTTAGTCTGAACGCTTCACTCAGACGGAGCATTGTAAGCTGGATTGTTTCATTAACTTATGCGTATATTAACTCACATGCATGAAGAGAAGTCGTTTTGGTCACCGATGCTCAACAACAAAGCTCATTGTTTTTCCATCAAATGAGGGTGGAGCGATGATTCTTGGACCCTGCTGCGTTGTTATGCTGATAAGTGGCTTTCTGTTGGAGCTTGCTGTCCCTCCTTTGGTGGTCACGTGTCCCAAACTAAGGGGTGAGTGAAGAGGTCTTTGCTGAGCCTCTGCTGTCGCGCTGTAGTATGCCTTCTCTGCACCATGGCTCAATGGGTTGTTTTTGATGCCTTCTCCTGCTGCATCCTCTGAGTGACAGGGAGACTGCGGCATCACCGCCTGTGCTGCCAACGTGGGAGAGATGAAGCCTGGGTAGACCATGTAGGTGGGGGTGAGGGCTAGAGGGGGTAGAGGGAAATGCATGGGTGTGACCTGTGCCACTGGTGAATGAGGCATGGGGACATCCACATATTTTCCCGTCTCGGGGTCAAAAAGTCTCTTGGTGGCCTGTATGGGGGTGTCCACCAGATAATAATGTCCAGTTGTGGGGTCCAGCAGCATCTTGCGCTGGGTTTGAGTTATTGCTTCTCCTCCAGACAGAGTGGGGGACATACTCTGGATGGACGGGGAGAAACACAACACCTGCTGAGGTTTTTGAGGACTTGTTGCTACTGTTGGAAGATGGTAGATGGTGGCAGATGGACAGTCCACAGTTACAGGAGACCTCTTTTTTTCAGGTACCTTGGTATCACCTGGATTATCTCTGCTAAAACTTGAATCCCCCTCAATTGACACACACTTCTGATTGGGCAGCTTGGTTTCATTTGTGCATCTTGGTATGGTTAGGTAGTTCTCAGGGTCGGAGCAACCTTTTGTATTGGTAGGATCAATGGAATTAGTTTTCTCTTTGTCCTGCTCCACCAGTTTTACCGACACCTGATTCATCGTCGATGTTTTAGAGCTTTTCAGTGCAGATGTTTGTAAAGCAGAATCTTGAGAATTAATGCTGACATTTTTCTTATTGCCAAAATAAAGGGCACTTTTGTTGGTGAAGGTTTTACTTTGCTGTGATTGTGTTTTAAAAGTGTCATGGTCATATGGAACATGTATGATATTGAGAGATTGTTTTTTCTGTGTATCTTTGCTGGTTGTTAGAAAGGGAGGAATCCTGCCTCCGTTTTTTACTTCCAGATCAGCAGGAGGTCTCTGTTCCTGCTTGGTGAGGAGAGGCAGCACATGGCTGTCTGCGGCCGGTTGAGAGGCTTGAGTTTTCCGCTTCCATTCATTCCTGTCGAAAACATAAAGCTGTTCCATGGTCTTGACTGCAGCTTTGAGCTTTTCCAGCGCATCCTGTTTTGGCATTGCAGGATCATTTCTTCTCTCATTTGTCTCCCCAGTGAACCTGTCCTGTCTCTGTTTTCCCAGTTTGGTCTCAGGATTTTGCTGCATCTCAGATAGATCTGGGTTCCCTTGCTTTGTTACAACTGTGGGAATTCTGCTGGATGTCTCAGAGTGTGTATCCGCCTCCACCTGTGCCTGGGCCGTGTCATCTGTCTCTGATTTGATGTTTGTTTTAACAGAGTTGCATTTGATCACCATAGGGGATGGTTTATCTGGCTCCACTTTGGTTTTCTCCTCAGCTACTGTAGAACATCCCTGATCACTTCTGTCCAAAGAGACAAAACGATATGAACTTTTCACCAACTTGCGCACATCCCTAACATGATATATTGGTGTCTGAAACTTGCACTTTGTGTCCCTGATGTTTCTAACAGTGAAGCTCGGAGCCTTGTCTGCTGAGGACAAAACATGACACCTACCGTTGTCTCCTGCCCTGAATTTATTGACGTTATAACTGATTTTAGGAGTAAGAAGATTTGCAATATTCAGTGTGCAGCCTTTGGTTTCTTTTACATTTCTAAGGCAGATTTTAATCTCGGGTGGTTTTCCTACCCTCTCATTTTTTTCTTTACCCTCTGTATTTGTATCATCTACCTTTTGCAGCTCCTTCCCACATGACTTTGCACCTGTGTTAGGTGTGTGGGGGTTTAAATCCTCTGCCAGGCTTCCGTCTTTTGAAAGTAGCTGGCAGTTTGGAACAAAAAGAAGTTTTGTTAAAACGCTGCTGCTGTCCAGGTCTTCCCTTGCTGTGTTTTGAGAATCTTTCACAGATGCAGGCTCTCCTTCCTTGCTAATCTGTGGCTCCTGTGGTGCTTCTTGGTGCTCCACAGAACAATCAGTAGTCTTCTTATCACCCTTTGAATCCTCTGCAGGCCCACAGGAGCTGGGTCTGTGATCAGTGGGGGAGTTTCCGGTGAATCCTAACTCAGAGGTTTGCCCCTGCAGACCTCTGCTCTCACTCCTCTCCTTCCCACCCTCCAAGTCTTTGATTTGAATACAAGAGGACACTGAAGGATGGGTATCTGAGATTTCCCCTCTCTCCATTTTGCGTTCCTGTTCAAACTGCATTTTTTTGGAAATGACATTTTTCAGCAGACTTGAGGCAAAAATAGCCCGCTTATGTGTGTCCCCTGAACCATCTGTGTGATGATACTGCATCTCACACCCTGATCTGGCCAACACCTCATTGGGTCGGTCCTTTTGAAAACACTTGGGGCTCATGGGAGTTCTGGATTCCACATTACAATGAAAGTTTAGGGTAACTCCTTGCTGTGCCGACTGCTCTTTCATTTGGAATTTTCTGCCAGTAGATGTCTGCTGTGAAGTTATTCTCTTATTCAGTGCACAGATTCTTGTCTGTTTATCTTTAATCCCAGTTTTGCACCTGTTATTCGCCCTGCTGTCCACAGTCTTGTTCATTGCCAGTGTCGCACTGGAGGTATTATGCGTGATATTTCCATAATTCCAGTCCACATACGTTGACCACTTATTTAGGCCATATTCCGACATGGATGACTCGCTGGAAGTGCTGAGATTGATGGCATCAAAGTAGGGACATGCCAAGCTTCGGAAGGACTTGGCGGTTAGGTTACGCACCTCTTTATCAGCGTCGTCCAGTTCACTAATGGAGCTAGACGCTCCGCTGGAGTACTCATTAATATCTTTCCGTCTCAGCTTGGTTGCGAGGTGCTGACGGCCCGGAGCTGGGATGAAATATTGACCCCTATCACACAGGGGCCCCGCTCTGGCGCCAGGGTTCACAAAGGAGAAATGGCTCCCATCTCCGATGTGTTTCGGAGATAACCACTGCGCGTTATTGTCAAACACGTCTGCAGGGTCGTTCAGCGTCCTGGAGGAAGCTTTAATGGACAGGTGGATTTTCCCCGCTGACTGCTCGCTCTGTGTTCTGCACAGGCTCTCATCAGAGCTGGCGCACAGATCGCTCTCCTCCTGCTCGGTGCTGACAGCCGCTCCGCTAAGATTAGACTGCGGCTTCGCCTGGCTCCGGCCGCCCTCCAGGATCAGGGTGCCCTCCTGGGTCTCGTCGCTCTCAAAAGAGGCGTAATCCACAAAGGCGTAGACCAGGTTGCCGTCCTCGAACTCCCAGCGCGTCCCCCGGCCCAGGTCGTAGTCCACGTCGTGGTCCAACTCGGTGAGCTGGATCTCATGCGTGGTGATGTAGTGGGACTCGGACAGCTCGGAGTCGCTCCTGCCGTTCAGACACATGTCGGTGTAGCGCAGCTCGCCGCTCTCGCTGCAATCGCTGGAGTCAAACTCCTGCTTCTCGCTCTCTGACTCCGGGTCAGCGGTGGGGAGCTGGGTCGGGGTGTCCAACAGGGACTCGGTTGAAGTGGATTTGTTCTCCTCCTGCTTCTCGCTCTCCGACTCCGGGTCAGCGGTGGGCAGATGCGTCAAAGTGTCCAACAGGGACTCGGTTGAAGTGGATTTGTTCTCATCCTGCTTCGAGCTGTCTCCTTTACTCACGGACAGCTGGTTCCCCTTTCCGGTGAAAGTCACTTTCACCGTCTTCAGCCCGTCGGGTCTCATGTCCAGATCCACATAGTTTGACTCGTCGCTGTTTTTCTCGGTGTCCTGACCCCTGGTGTCCTCCTTTTTGATCGGTTTAAGCAGCTTGTTGCTGTGAAGTCCGGTGTCATCTCGATAGGTGAGAGTTTTCTCTGCTGCTTCCATTTAGTTCGGACTTCACGGTCAGGTGGTCCTGGTTTACGATGTTACTCTGACACTGGACGGAAAACTCTGCAGGCAGGAGCGTGGGGGCAGCTGGGAGGGTGGGTGTGTGCGTGAGGGAGTAAGTGACAGGTTGGAGGGAGGGGTGTCCCACAGAAATTCCCACGACACTGTCAGGCATTTTTGTGTAACTCTAAAACCAACCTAAACCGTTTTCAGCACCTCCCTTAGAAGAACAGTTCCACACAGAGTCAGAAGTAGCTATTTTTCATCTCCAATATTGGAGTTTTTAATCTTAAACAAATATTCCCCCATTTTCTATTGAATTATTTAGTTTTAATTGTCAAATTCTTGTCATGGAGAAGAGAAAATCTTTCTTTTCCTACATCAAATAAGAGTGAAACTGCTGCCTTAGCTTCTGCGGTTGAAAAACCTAAATTAGATGCTGTAACCTACTTCCCTTTATGTTAAGGATGAAAAGCTGAAAAAGATGGAAAATCGAGAACAATTTACTTTTTTTAAGTACAACTAGTGTTTACTTTCTGTCAGTACAACAACAGGAAAGAGAGCATTGGATTAAGATAACCAGTCAAGATTTAGTTGGGTGCTGGTCCTTCTAGAGTTTTCTGTGGCATTTTTTCTTTATCTTGGCATGTTGTTTGGGGTCAGTTCTGAGTTCTTAACTGAGAAAGGTTCTGCACACCAACAATACAGCCAGTTAGTTTGGAGCCCTGTTATGGGTTAGCTTGCTAATGGGCTGTAAGAAGCAGATTTTCCTTCACCATTGGCAGCAACTATTGTATTACAATCCATTATTGGTCTTTCATCCTTTTAAGTGTTGGATTTTATTTTGGTTTTGTTCTCATTTTTGTCTGTTCTAAGCTCAGATTAGGTCGCCCTGACAACAACGTAAATTTTCTGTTTAGAGCTTTGTAGTCGCTACAGACGTTTATATTTGGATTCCAGTTGTAGTCCTTGGTTTCTATTTTTTTCAAGGAGGTTATGTTTTGTTTTATTTCAACATTTGCCCTCCTTTTCTGCTTTTACTCAGTTAATTTCACTTCTTTTGTCACAAAATCTTTTAAAATAAATTTTTAATAAATGTCATAAATACTCAAGCAATACAGCATTTATCACAAACTCAACCTAAACAGATCATTTGAATAATTTTAAGACTAAAACTTTTGTCTATGTTAAAACCTACATTCAAAGTGGCTTATCCAGAGCTATCTGTTTTGCTGTGCTACTATAGGCTTAGGCTGCAAGAGGACATAAAGACATAAAACACTTTTTCTCACTCAGCTACATTCTATTTCTATTATCCTTGTGCACATTATTTTTAAAACCTGTAGTTAAAGTGGCTTATCCAGAGAAATCTGTTTAGTTGTGCTACTGTAGTTATTGGCTGCTAGAGGGCATAAAGTACACTTTTCATCACTGTGTTACATTCTACTTCTGTTATCTAAATGTTCATTATTATTAAACCTTTTCAGCTTCATACTCAGTCTGTCTTTTTTTTGGTCATAATTAATATATATCTGGCTTGGCATAATTTTTAGCTTTGAGACTGTTCTAGAGGGAGGCATCAACTTGGCTGCTGCTGTCAATAACTTGGTGTTGTGGATGATGTAGCTGTTTTTCAGTGTTTTTCATTCTTTCGCTTCTAGAGATCGACCAAGCTACTCCAGCTAACTGTATATGTCCTCTATTCCATCTTTTGACCTTTAAATTTGCCCTCCACAAAACTACATATACAGCTAGTTTACCATCATCTTTTGAGAATTGGTAATATTTCTATATCAGCGCTTCTGTGTTTCCTTTGTGTGTATGCTGTGTTTGCTCAATCCCCCAGTCTGTTGTGGCAAAAGGCCTTTCTCACTATGCATGGTTCTCCAGGATGTTTCTTACTGTTTAAATGGACTTTTCCTCTCTACTGTCACTATGTGCATACTCCATATGAAAGATGGTTATAAAGGTAATGTCACTATGTAGGGACTTTCCAATATCGCTACAAACACAGCCAGGAGTGATTGCTCTAATCTTTTAGCGATTTGACTGTAGAGCTCTGAAAAATCACATATGTCGGGAAATAGTGCTTTATAAATAAGTGTTTTATAAATAAAATTGAAATGCACTTAAAAAGGAAAAAGTATGAGCTATCCAGTAGCTTTGATTTCTTTATCCACTGTGTCACATATTGGTATTTATAACCTTTGTAGACACAACAACATCCGTCAGTTCGCTCTACATTTGAATGCCCCAACACCTTTAGCACTGATGGACTCTACCTGAGCATTGCTGAATCAGGCTGCCCTGCATGTTGGGGATCCAGTTGTCAGACGTCTGTCTAGGTTTTGAAGACACAAGTGTTGTTCCTGGACAGGGCCCCAGATTGGTGGTATGCAGCGAGGGAGGGGATGGGCTAACAGCTGTTGCATGTGGAGGGCACACTGACTGGAGTATCAAGGACAGAGGCCACAAGTATAAAGCTTCTGACACCCTCAGATCCTGTTTTTAGTTTCATTGTTAGTAACATGGAGGAGATGCTCTGTCAAACTTTGGAAACCTTCAATTGAAGTAATCTTTCTTTTTATTGAATAGCGGACACATATTATTTAAGGTCTGCAGATTCCAGCTTATTTCATTTATATGACATTTCAGTCCTCTACAGTTTTTTTGGTATTGAATGTGACCCGCCATATTCACTGGGACAGCTGTAGTTATTTACAGATTAATCTTTTCCATAAAAGCAAATCTAAGACATTTGATCAGCTAATAAAACTGTCCTTAACCTTTTTAACAGGTGACCTCTCTTAAAGACTGTTGTGTCAGGTTTAATATAAAAAGACTGCGAGAGTGTGTGTGAATTCCAGCTATGAAAGGATTTTACAATCTTTGAAAGCATAATAATTTGGCCTTAAAATGTTTTTGTATCAGTATAGAAGAATAAATGAGGATTTCAGGTCTTTACTCTGTAACGTTTCTGTAAGGTTTTCCCTCATGTTACAAACATCAAATGTAAACAGGTTGAACAGGCTCACACAAAGCTGATAAATTTAGGAGGCTATTTAAAAAGGGAGCATGGCTCACGCAAGCAAGTTGAGATCAGATTCTTACTGGGGCCACATTAAAACAGCAGGTGCTAAATCATGAGCGCCATTAATCAAAATATAGAATTGAATGAATGAGGAACACCCCTCTCAGCCCTTAAACCCCTTTTGCTCACACAACTCTTAATGCATAACTAAGAAAAACTTTAGAAAGCTTAAACGCTGCTCTGAAATAATTCAATTCAATTCAGGGAAATTAGATTAATTCGATAAAATGGTTCAATAAATAAAAGCCATAGGTTTGACAGAAATTGTTAGGGTGCTGGTTTATTCTGGATGGTTTTTTTTTCTACATAAAAACACGTCAAATTCCACCTTCTAATCAACCAATGAACTCTATTCCTGCACAGTAAAAGTATTCAGTAGCAGGATGCAGCCGGTGGGTTAGTGTATTCAAGCTGTTTTAAGCGGGAATTTACAGTACATTGCTAGCATTGCCACCCACATCTAATGTGACCAGAGCACCTTATTCTACAAGTTTTCTGTGACTCCTACACGAGTAGGAACATTTTAGATTAAAATTCCCTTTGCTAGCTTTTAAAATTGACTCTCTTGTTGTACTTCTGTCATAAAAAGTACAGATTGGTGGTCTCTATGATTTCATGATTCTACCAACTTAGCTTTAGCCCTCTGCAGCTCCTCTGGAGTTACACTGGGAACCTTGATGTATTCGAGACACACTTTCATTGCCAGCCTGTCACATTTTGGCAGATGTCTTGATAGGTTTGTTGAATTAAAAAAAAAAACACTCCAAGCTTTGATTAATGTTTTCTAGCCTAACTTTCTCCCTTTCACAACTTTCTCCTTGACCTGTCCACTGTGTTCATTTGTCTTCATGATGCTGCCTGTTCTCTAAGTTTTAGTAAGACACCTCTGGTACCTTCATGAAACTCCTGGATTTATATTGAGATATTGTAAAACACAAATAGACTCTATTTACGAAACAGCTAAATCTCAAATAGCCGCACTTAACTGCATTGATAGAGCCCACTGAATTATTTCTGAATACTACACACTGGACTTTCAAGTTTAATATTTGTAAAGTAATAGGAAATCCCCTATATTTCCATTAAGTTTCATATGAAATAGTTTTTGAGTTTGTGGTTGTAATGAGATAAAATAAAAAAGTTCAAGGGTTATGAATATATGCAAATATAGGTGTTAATATGAACATATCTACTTCAAAAAGAGCTAAATTATTCAACTCAGTTTAAAGAGATGGTAGCTCAGCGAAGAAAAGCCAAACTAATTCTACAATTCCAACATAAATGTTAGGAATCCAGTTTGTGTGGGTTGTTTGTGTGTCTCTCCTCCTCCCTACACACCTGCGGCTTGTTGGTTAATTACTGGAGGAGTATTTGAGCTGTGGGCTGTCACTACCTCGGCGCCAGAGTGTTTGCCAGTTTTGGGTACTCTAGCCAAGCTGAGATTAGCAGAGTCAGCTTTGTTTCCCTGAGTCTTATGTGTTTTTGTCTTTGCTCTTTGGCAGGAAGCCTTCCTGTGAAAACTAGATACTTGGACCTTCTCCCCCTGGAAGGACTTACTGAGTTTGCACTGAGCAGGGGAAAACTTCCACATGATCCGTTAAAGTCCCCATCGGAAATCCAAGTGACAGTCCGCTCCATTACTCCTCTGGGTCCAATGTAGTCTACCTGTCGGCTCTCCAACGAGTTCCCTCTTCTCTGGATAAACCCACACAGACTGGATTCAAGGATTGACAAGAGCCCCCTCAAACGTTAGTCTCTATGCAGAATAATTCAAGCTGCAGTCTCATTTTTCACGGTCCCTGAACTTATCTCTGTGATCTCCCCTTCAGACTTTCCAGTTCCATTTCACCAGTTCACTGAGTTCCAGATCCAACCTCTGTTTACATTACACCAAATAAACCTGTTAAAGTTTTCCCCATGTTCTCTGAGTGGTTTCTTTGCATGTTGGTCAGATTAACTTAAACCGATCATGACAGTAAAG